AGTTATTGGCACGTTCAGACTATTGCCATCCTTGTTGCGCCATCTACCTGTCCTTGTCTGAACCGTTACGGCGATAGGATTGGAGAATACTCCCGCGCAAAAATTGTTAATAACTTATTAATTATGGACCAAATGTGATTAAATTTGTGATTGGTGTGTTGCTAGAAGTCCATTCTACATTCTTCGATTATAAAGAATCACAAATGGTGCCTGTAAAGTCAGAAAAATAATTATTTGTAGAACGATGTTTAATTTTTTGAGGTCACGCGGGGATACTGCTTGTCAAAATTAATTAATAACTCTCTAATAACGCATAAAATATGATCAAAAACTATATGTGAAAATAGCTGAAGGTCCATTCTACATGCATCAATCGCAAATGTTTATAAATTATTCCTGGTAATTGAGTTATTAACGAATCTTCCCTCGAATTGATACGTCGAGAGAGAGTCTCACTGTGCGTCCTTCTCTCGCTCCGTAAAACGCATAAGTTTGTCCTTGTCGGATACCTCCATCTATATCATGTGTTCCTACCACTTACCAGGGAATTCGAAGTCCGTCGAAAAAGTAGGTGGCACAACCGGGACATCTATTCTCCTTGTCGCACACGATCTCTGTCCTTGTCTTACACATGGTAGAGATAGGGAAAGTTAGTTCACAAACCCGCCACCGTAGATGGCGCCACGTACCCTTGGCTCACAGTATGTTTGTCTTCGTCTTACTCATTACAAGCATTGCTGACTGAGTGAAACAAGTCTTTCGAAGCTTCAGAGTCTTTTTCATAGTAGGAATACATGATCTGCTGGTGGTATTAAACAAGGGCAAATATATAAGTTTATTTCAGCTGGAAAGAGACAAGTTTAGTTACAATGTTATTACAATTTACGGAGAAAATTGCTAAACTGTTATCCAAATGTTAACATAGTGGAGATATGCACGATTTAGTTCGATGCTGTTAACGATGTATTGTGAAGCTCTATTAAATAAAGAGATACGTAAGAAATATCGTTTTTGAAAGTAAATGTATTGAAAATTCTCTCTCTCTCTCTCTCTCTCTCTCTGTACGGCTAATAATAATAAATTTATCATTTATTTCCGATTAAAATGATCTAGCTCCACGAAATTGATGGAAATGAATTTTCCAAATAGCAATCACTGATCTAGATGATCTAGTGAATCTAGTGATCTAGTGAAACAGTGGTAGGGTTTCACGTATAGGGTCATCGGTGGTCACTGACGAGGTCACTGGCATGCTCTGTAATAAGTACATCTTTTTCATTTAATTATTTCGTTTAGTACCTAACTTTTAA